CCAGCCCTGTTTTTTGTGTTGGGTTTTTTTTGAGATAGGGTCTCTTGAACTATCTGCCTGGGCTGGCTTTGAATCACAATCCTACTGATCTCTGCCTCCTTAGTAGCTAGGATTACAGGGGTGAGTCACTGGTGCCTGGCCCCATTTTGAATTAATGCAGCAATGGCATTTTAGAGAAAAAAAAAAAATTTTTTTTTTGGGCAGTACTAGGGGTTGAACTAAGGACCTCCCACTTACTAGACAAGCACTCTACCACCTGATTCTTCCTTTTCATCCCTGTAACGAGACTATACAGTGACTGTCTTCAAAAGACCTTCCACTTTTTTGCAGCATTACAAGAGTAGACCACCATACCCAGCTTCAAGCCTTCCATTTTTTGAGGGGATCATAAAAACATTCTTGAAGTTTTAGACTGTTGTAGAACATTCTGAATATACAAAAAGCCACTGAATTGTTCACATAAAATGGTTAAAAGTGTTGCATTTTGCCTAAAAAAGAGAAAAGCTTGTGCTCCCTTTGGAAGCACATATACTAAAATTGGAATGATACAGAGAAGGTTAGCATGGCCCCTGTGCAAGGACGACATGCAAATTCATGAAGCGTTTCATATTAAAAAAAAAAAAAAATCTAAACACAGATCTGCCATATAACCCAGGAATACCACTCTTGGGGATATACCCAAAGGCATGCATCACAGGTTACTCCAGAGGCACCTGCACACTCATGTTTATTACAGCACTATTCACAATAGCCAAGTTATGGAAACAGCCAAGATGCCCCACTATTGATGAATGGATTAAGAAAATGTGGTATTTATACACAATGGAATTCTATGCAGCCATGAAGAAGAATGAAATCTTATCATTTGCAGGTAAACGGATGGAACTGGAGAACATCATCCTGAGCAACGTTAGCCAGGCCCAGAAGACCAAAAATCGTATGTTCTCTCTCATATGCGGACTTTAGATCAAGGGCAAACACAATAAGGGGATTGGACTTTGATCACATGATGAGGCGAGAGCACACAAGGGAGGTATGAGGATAGACAAGAAACCCAAAAAAAACAAAAAACCAAGATAGCATTTGATGTCCTCAATGCAAAGGAACTAATGCAGAAACTTTAAAGTGACAGAGGCCAATAGGAAAAGGGGACCAGGAACCAGAGAAAAGGTTAGTTTGAGAAGAATTAATTTAAAATTTAACACGTATATACAGGAAAGCAATTCGAGTCAACTCCCTGTATAGCTATCCTTATCTCAACTAGCAAAAACCCTTGGTCCTTCCTATTACTGTTTATACTCTCTCTTCAACAAAATTAGACTTAAGGGCAAAATAGTTTCTGCCTGGTAGCGAGGGGGTGGGGGGGGAAGGAAGGGAAGGGGCGGGGAAAAGGGGGGAGAGATGACCCAAACATTGTATGCACATATGAAGAAAAAAAAAAAGCTTCCCAATATTTCATACTTTATCTGGAATTATATCCCTGAAATACACATTACTTTCTTATCAATCTCCATTTGCCCCTTATTGCCTACAACCTGACTGGCATGAGGGCCTTCAAAATTTAGACCCTAAATTCCCTTTAGTCTCATCTTTCATCGTGAAATGCTGACATGTCAAAGCCTTCCATATTTGTAAGCCTGGAAACATAATCCTTTGGTTTGAAATCCCCCTTTACTGCCCTTGTCTGAGGAATTTTCATTCTTCCTTTAAAGCCAGCTCAACCCTGGCGCCAGTGGCTCACGCTTATAACCCTAACTACTCTGGAGGCAGAGATCAGAAGGAGCATAGTTCGAAACTCAGCCTGGGCAAATAGTTCACGAGATTATAACCAACACAAAAAAAGACTGGTGGAATGGCTCAAGTGTCAATGCTTGTAAAGGCTTCTAGGATTCTTCAAAACAGAATCATTTCCTTCCTCTTTTGTATTCCCTCCATACTTCTTTTAAAAAGTTATGTGCTTGTTTTCATGCCACATTTATTGAATATGTTATGTTAGGTATTGTGTTAGGGCTTAAGGCAGACAGGGAGCTTTTAAGGAGCCTACAGTCTGTTGGGGTAGAAAGACTTTTAAAACAATTACAGTATCACAATTCACTGTTACCACAGTGATATAAATAGAAATTGAATTAACGAAAGAAGTAAAATTCCTGGGTTTATGGACCATGGGTTACTAACTTTAAATGATTATTACTTTTTTTGGTGGGACTGGGTGATTATTTTAGCACTTTAAGTTTTCCCAAATGAAAACCAGATTACCTGGAAATACTATCAATTACGCGGTTGGGACTCCTGGGATGAAAGAAGCTAATAAAAGAGTTAATGTCCCCAAAGGTAGACTCCCTAGCGTTAAGGAAACAGTAAGTTCCTTTCCCTTTATAGGCAGGCCTAAGTTTTCCTATCCCATTGAAGATGTGCTTTCTAGAAATGGACTTACTAGCACTTCCTAACTCCCCAAGTTTTCCTCAGCATGCCAGTAGTTCATGTGGAACACAGAAAAATCAAAGGAGTATTTATGAGGTCACTGACCTAGAAGGTACAATTAGATCTCTGTCTGATGGAGCCGAAGCCTCTTGAGAATCTGGAGTGGCAGCCCAAGGCAGTGAGGGCAGAGGGTAGTGTGGGTAGATGGAGTGAGGAATCCCTCAGGACTAGGTCCTAATCAGACTCTTAAATGCCCCTTCTGCTGAAGATGCCACACACATTTTTGCAAACTGTTTTACTCTTCTTTAACGACTTTTTTTTCACTTCAGGAACAATGGTCTCCCAGGCAATCAAAAATGTGGGCTAATACAAACTAGTAAAGACTGAAATGAAGGAAAATCCAAATAACAGGAAAAAAATTACATTCACTACCTCTAAATTTGGTATGTTCAGAAATTTGGAATTATGATGTGGAGTCTTCACTTTCCTTCAAGTCCTATAACTATAACTAGCTCAACCTCAAACTCCACAGATTCTTCCTTAACATCTCTAACTCCATTGGCACAAGCAATTTCTACTGTGTACCTACTTAGGCTAGTTCCAGAATACACTGGTGGGAGACACGGGAGGGTGGGAATGTGGAGATGTATACAGACATAGTTACTAAACAAATTTGCTAATAAGTACATGACCAGTTGAGAAATAAATATTATAAACATTCCAAAGTGGCATGTTGTCTGGGTGAGGTAATCAGGAAATTCTGGGGGAGAGGGCCACTCAAGATGGGCCTTGAAGGGTTGGGAGCGTGGCTCAAGTGGTAGAGCACCTGCCTACAAGTTCGAGGTCCTAAGGTCAAATCCCAGAACCACCCCGCAAAAAAGAAAAGATAGGCCTTGATTCAGAGGTCCAACTTGGATTTAGACAGAGCTAGTAGAGGGGACCTGGAAGGAAAGCACTCAGGAAATAGGGAATAAAGGTGGCTGCCTGGAATGAAAGGTCCAGGTGAACACGGGATGTAATTTGCATTTATGTACCTATTGCTTTTCATTTTGTTTGGAGAAATATGACAGTGAAATATTGCTAAGGACCAGAGTATTGTATTTCTATCAGATTCACTATTCACTTCTCACATATCCTAGAAGTTAAACTGTTCACTTTGCAAGAAAAACACGTCCTTTATTTCTCCCCAAGTACGCAAAACTTCCAAAATTAAAACTTAAAAGCCCCTCATCCGTACCTATTTTGTATCCTACTGTTTATACCTGACTCTAACGGCCTCCTACCGTTCAATAACCTTTTAGCTCTCCCCCCTCCAAATAAAGAGGTAAGTCAGAATTCCATGGAAGCCTGAAATTTGTTTTGTTCAAATATTGGATAAACTGTCAGGACTAAGACAGTCCTGAACTGGTAAAACCAGTAAAAGGGAGATCTGGGAAGGTAAGAGAAAGTCAAACAACAAGCATACCAGAACATCTCCATCCCTCCCACTGGCTCCTCCCCTCCTCCCTCCAATTACAGCCAGTCAGAGAGCCGGGCCGCGGACCAGGATGTCTGGCGTCCACAGCTGATGTCCGCGAGCACGCATCTTCCCACGTCAACAAACCACGCGCCCTCGCCGCGAGAGCACCTGCTTCCGACCTGAGCTCCCGACTCCCGAGCCCAGCTCCCCTTCCTGCCGGATCCGTAGTCCTGGGCAAGTCTCTGACTTTGCTGGGCCTCAGTTTCCTGTGAAATGTTAGTGATTCTCTACGGACTAGAGGGAGCGTAAAAGAAACTTTAAGGAAAATGCAAGTGACTCTCCAACTTGTTAAGCACGGGGTGCTCACCAAACACCCGGAAAACAAGCTCTCAAAAGTCACCTCTGCCTCCTCACTCCCTTCCCGCCCCGCGCTAGTGCTCAGGCCGCTCCCTCCGGTGCGGTCCCTGCGAAAGTCTCACGGCGCTGCCTGGCGTACCTGCAGCCACCTGGTCAGCGGGACTCTCCTGCTGACCTATGACGAAGTCTTGCACGAGGCTCCACAGGGCGCCTGAAGACGCCGCCGCCTCCACAGCGGCGGCGGCAGCCATGACGCGAGCCAGGGAACGTGGGAGGAGAAGTAGGCGGTAGCACGAGATGGGCCTCTTCGCGCACGCGCTTCCGGAGCCAATCGCTGGGCGAAGGCCTCAGGGGCGGGGCGCTCCTGGATCACGTGCCTGCCAGTTCCTGGCCAGGCGGTTCTAGGAGGTACTGGACGGCCCCTCCCCGAGGGGCGGGGCCTAGGTCGGGGCGCGGCGCAGGGAGGGGAGGTGACTGCGTGCAGTGGGGAGCTGTTGAGAGCGCATTAATTTCTACCCGGGCTCCCGGGAGACTGGCGGCGGGGCGGGCACCTGACTGGGTGGGGCCGAGGGGGGCGTTACACACCCTGGGAGGAGCCAATGAGAAAACCAGGCCCGGATCGAGGGGCGGTGTCATCGGTCACATGCGCACCTGGGGCGGGTGGCGGCGGTGGACGCGGGTACCGCGAGTCGGCGGAAGGGAGCGGGGCCGGGCTGGGGCGGGGTTAAGCAGGTGAGTGACAGGCTCTAGGGGGCTGACTCCGACTGGGAGCTCCGAGAGAACCCAGAGTAGCTGCTGCGGTGCCCGCCCCCTCTCTCCACCCCTCCAGCGGAGCTGGTCTCTGGCCCGGCACCGTCGCGGGCCCCCCTGGCTCGGCCACCTGAGACTGTGCTGGGAACCGGCCACCTCTCTTTCCTCTGGCCAGCAAAGTTTGTGGCGAAGCCGGCGCCAGGCAGAGCGCGCCCCAGGGGAGATCCGGGAGCGCCCGATGGCTGGCGGTAGGAGCCGTTGACCCGGGGTGCCGCCGTCCGGAGCAGGAGCGCGGAGCAGACAGCAGCTCTCCGCCTCCGGTGCATGGAGACCAGCTGAGGAGCCAGCATGGGCAACTGCGTGGGGAGACAGCGCCGGGATAGGCCGGCCGCCCCGGGACACCCCCGCAAGCGAGCAGGTAACGCCGTAGACGGGAGCGGGGCCACGGCGCCTCTCCAGTTGTCCCCTCCTTGCCCGAGCCCTGGGTTTCGCGAGCTATCTACGGCGGCTCCTGACGTTTGGGCTGCCCCATGGCTGCTCCCAGCCAGACGAGGCCCCTCCCCAGCGCCGGATGGCCGGGGGAGCGAGTTGGGGCAACTGCGAGTGCTGACCCGGCTTCGAGACCAACTCCTCGAACTGGGAAGCTCCTGGTGGGGGCGGGGGCAGGAAATGTTTGCAGACCGCAGAGGGGCCGGCGGAGGGGGGGCGTTGCGGGAGAGGGTTCCGCTGGCCTGGCGGCCCGGGCCGGGGTCGGACATCGGCCGGTTGGGTCGCTGCACGGGCAGCTTGCGTCCCCAGTACTCAGACTGGGAGAGCACAGTCGCTCCTTCCAGAGACTGTCATTATCGGGCTGCAGATCGTGTCTGCCGGAATCCGACTTGCAAAAGCAGCGCAGGACTCTGGGAAAGAAATCTTTATTTTTTCCCCCCGCAGGGCTTTTTAGAGCCTCCTGACCGTTTGGGAATCTAAGAATTTGAGATGCGGGACGAGAGTCGCCCTCGGGTTTGTTGGGATCCTTCCCAGCTCTAGGAATGGATCCACTCGCTAGTGATCCGGATTTGGAGAGATTCCGGCCAGTCTTGAAAATAGGATCTGCTCTGGTGATTTGAGAGTCCCCAGCAGCGCCTTCTCACTTTCTTGGTACACTCCTCCTATCCCAGCGCTTGGCTGTGGGAAGAGGTCTTGGCGGTTATTTCCCTGGGTCCTATACTCAGTTTCTTCTCTGAGGGTGTTGCAAAGACCTTCTGAGAATGATAAAATAGATTTTAGAGCTCAGAAGATCTTCAAAACTTGTCTGAATTCCAGATGGACCTACCATCTCCTCTTTTGGTTAAAAGCACAGACGCAGAGAGGTAGAGCAACTTGTCTAAAATCACACAGCTAGTTAGTAGCACAACTGGGGCCAGGTTCCAGTCTCTTCTTCCACCCTGTTGCCACATATCCCTTTATGTAAGAGGAGTCACAGGCACAACTGTTAATGAAGTGGAAACTCTAGTTGGGAGTTTCCTGTCTGCTTTGACACTGAAGGTGTGTTGCTTGGGTTGCGGAAACTGGGAAGGATGGGGGAAGCATGGAAGGATGTCTGTGTAGTGGACAGGATGACTTGTTCAGGCATAAATGTGTTTTTAATAGAAGAATGGGGTAAAACTTTAACATTAAAATTCTCTTGTTTGAGTGCAACCCTGGCCTTTCTCCTGACGGAGGAGAATTGATTCTGAACCAGAGGGCTTTCTTCCTTTCATTTATTCATTCAACAAGTATTTCTTATTTTTATACTCATTGCACGAATTTATAACATGTTTTCACCATTGACAACCATCTACTACCTGAAATTCTTCCCCCTTCTTTTCTTGACTTTAGAACATCTTGGTTTTCCTTGCTGATCACTCATGCCCACCTTTACCTTTTAGGTGTGGAGACATTCAGTGGTTCATTTTGACATTCTGGTTTTTCTCATTACACTCCCTCCCAGAGAAATCTTATTCTGCCCTATCTTAATATTCAACTCAAACCCCAGACCTACTGGATGTGGCTATCCTTATAGTCAACCCCTCTAAAACCAAGCTCTGCATTTCCTCTCAGCCAGCTGCACTTCTTTACTCTTCTTTTCTGCCAGCTGTCTGGCCATATACTTTGAAGAACTCTCTGATGCCTTGTCTTCTGCCTCCCAGCTAGCCAGTCACAGGGGCCTGCTGGTTCTTCCTTCAACAGTTTCCCATTCCCTTGGCACCTCAAGTCAAGTCTTTTCCCAGGCTGAGATCTACCCACCAAAGTGAGTTACCCACCAAGAGCAAGTTCCTCTTCATTCATTCATCCAGTGCCTGCATAATGTGTAGAAGGTTTGTCAAATAAACATGTTCCAAACCCTGTTGTTTCTATGTTCAAAACTCTTTCTGTACCTTCTCACTCTTAGAATACATCTAAGGTTTTTTGGGGCAGTACTGGTTGCTAGACAGGTGCTCTACCGCTTGAGTCACGCCTCCATCCCTTTTTTCCTGTTTTTGTGTGTGTGTGTGTGTGTGTGTGCTACTGGAACTTAAACTCGGGGCCTACACCTTGAGCCAGTCCACCAGCCCTTTTTATGTTAGGTACTTTTTAACATAGGGTCTTGCGAACTTATTTGCCCCACTGGCTTTGAACTGCGATTCTTCTGATCTCTGCCTCCATAGTAACTAGGATTGCAGGTGTGAGCCACCGGCGTCTGGCTTTTCCTGGTTATTTTTGAGACATGATCTTGCTTTTTGCCCAGGCCAGTCTGGACTGTGGTCGTTCAATTTTACACTTCCCACCGTAGCTGGAATGACAGGCGTGTTCCACTATGCCCAGCTTTTTTCTGTTGAAATGGGGTCTTTTGAACATTTTTGAACATTTTTTTCGCAGGGCTGGCCTAGAACTGCAATCCTCTTGATCTTAGCCTTCTGCATAGATGGGATGACAGATTATGTGGCACTGTGCCAGGTTATTGGTTGAGATGGGGTCTTGTGACCATTTTTGCCCAGGCTGGCCTATAATCTTGATCCTCCCAATCTCAGCCTCCCAAGAAGCTAGGATTACAGGCATGAGCCACCAGCACCCAGCCTATTCAAGTCTGGCCTAGTCCTCTTGAGACCTGATTGCTTTCTCTTCCCTGACGTTAAGTCACCAGTGTTTGTTCATGCTATTTCCTCTTTTTATTGAGAGCCTTTTACCTTTCTTCCCTTCAAGATCTACCACAAATCGCATTTTTTTTTTTTTTTTGTATTTTAAGAAAGGGTCTTGCTGTGTAGCTCAGGCTGCCCTTGAACTCATGATCCTCCTGCCTCTGTTTCCTCAGTGCTGGGATTACAGATGTGTACCACCAAACCTAGCTTTAAATTCCATATCTTTCTTGATACGGAATTTAAAGCAACCTGTCTCAAATCTTTCTCCCCTCCCCTCAGCAAGGTGATTCTTTTGAGAACTCCTGAAGACATATTACTTACCTATGCCACTTACTTAACAGTGATATAGTCCATACTGTTAGTCGTGTCTTTGATGTTCAGTCTTCTATTAGCAACTGCATTCATTGCAAGCTTGAAGACCTTGGTTCTGTCTTTTCCTCGTATATTGGTCCATCTCTTGTCTCTCTTACAGCCATGCACACATGTAGTAAGCATTTAGCACAGTGACTTGTACACAGGAAGCACTCAATATTTGTTGATTTTTTTAGGAAGCTAACTGGACTTCATTGTACCCCCTACATTTTTTATGGAAACATTTTACTGAAGAATATACCTACATTTTTTAACCTGCTAGTGAATTGTTATTTTAAATCTATGGATCTTACTATGAATAGCTTTATTCATACCTAAAGTCCAAAGCCAAGGGAACTCTGTAGGATGACAGATTTGGTAAAAGGAAAGGAATCTTTCTTAACTTCACAGCATGCACCTGGCATTTCTGTAACATTTGCAGCTTATCCTTTGACAAGGACATAGTTCCATGTTAGAAGACTGATGCCCAGTGTTGGAGGGGTGGCTCAGTGGTAGAGTGCTTGCCTAGAATGTGTAAGGCACATTTGATCCCCAGCACTGCAAAACAAACAAAAAGACTAATGCCTGAAACTCAGCTCCCTGTAACTCTTACCTTCCCTTTATCACTGGTGTAATGTAATGGGAAGAAACCCTCAACAGAGAGAGAAAACCTGAATTCTTCTACTGGGCATCTGCTCAGTAACCCTGGGCATGTCAGTAATCCTGTCTGGGCTACACTTCCAGTGTGTCAGAAGGGGAGGAAGTCACACAAGGTCATCAGAGCTGTTCTGTCATTTTCCTAAAGTGAGTTTTCAAAACTCGAGTTGCTGCAGTGAAATCTTACGCCTTGTAATGCCACCCTTTGTCTTTAATTCTGTTTTCGTAGTCACTAGGTAGGTGAAGCAGGGACACACTGCCGCTGGCTGGGGGCTCTTGTAGTGAATGGGATTAGATGGTCTTGTTTTATCTTTTTTTTTTTTTTTTAACCAAGTTTTCATACCTAAAGTCCAAAACCAAGGGAACTCTGTAAGATGACAGATTTGGTAAAAGGAAAGGAATCTTTCTTAACTTAACCCTTTTAAAATTATTTTTTATTACTCTGAATGAATCCCAGTAGGTTTAGGGTTTCTCTTCTCCAGGTGCTGAGTGTCCTTACATGCTTCTGAGAATACATGGGGATTGACTGCTTTGGAGGGGCTCCTGCCACCTCATACATCTACCCAAAGTACATCAATATCTCTGCCCAGAAATTGGGTGGAAGCAGCCTGTTCCCCTGGTCATTGCAGGGAGAAAAAAGAGGTGGTAGAACAGGCAAGTCTCTTGCTCAGCCCCACCCTTTGAGAATGTGCAGGGCTGAAACCCAAATATCTGCCTCTGTGATGTGCCAGGTGTATCCACTTACGTTCTGGAATCTCAAGTCAGAGTGGACAGACCCAGGGCCCTGTTTGGGGCTGACTGGGTTTAGTACTGTGGTTGTAGGGAGACTGTTTCTCCTTGTGTAGGCTGTGTGGCTATTCTTGAAGGAATAATTGGGCAACTTCTCCACTTACTCCGTAAATATTTACTGGGTGCCAGGCACCTTGCTGGCTGTGAACATGCACGGTCCTTGACCACACAGAGCTTACAGTCTTGGCGGGGGGGACAGACTGTAAACACACAGACAAATTACATATGACCATCGTATGAATCCTGTCTGATTATACATACAATTCCATATTATATATGCTGGTGACTCTCACATTTAAATCTCCAGCCTTACACATTTTTCTGTCTCCTTAACACATCTGGTATCCAAAAGGCTTCTCAGTTTTACATGTCCACGCCAGAATGAACCCCCACTCCCACCCCAGTCTCCTCTTTCACAGTCAAACACTCCTAGACCATCCCGTTTAAAATCCATCTCCTTCTTTCTGCTACCTGCCCTCAG